TCATTCAAAAACACTCACAGAACAACAAATTGCATCTACATCAAAGGCATGGATTCATTTTGTAGCGGGAGGGTAGGCATATATTAAAATAATGATTTATTTATATGCGCACTAACTACCACTGCTTTAATAAAACTTTCATCTATACTACCTTTGGATTTTTTCTTTTAGTCTTGGAGGTATGGTTGGAGCAATTGTAACTTCACCCTTAGATGTAGTTAAAACGCGATTACAGGTTACTAGTTAACTAATACTTTTTTTTATTATTGTGATTATTTTTATCTATTCCTCTCTTTTCTTTTTACTTTTTGATTTACGAAATTTTCAAAGAATTACTAATTTGTTATATAATAAAAAAAAAATATATATGACGTTTATAAAACAACAACAACAACAACAATAAACTAGTCATCATATTATCAATCATCATCAAATAATTTGAATATAACAAAACAAACTGGTCGACACATACCAGTTTTAGGACATTTTATCGAAACTGGAAAAATTTTAATGTACATGTATTTTTTAATAATGTTGTCATTATTATATCTGTCGTCGTTTATTCACTCATATATATCTGTATTATTTTTTAGTGGTGTGTATCGTATTGAAGGACCACGAGCATTATTCAAAGGTTTAGGACCGAATTTAGTAGGAGTTGTACCAGCAAGGTAATGAATTTTTCTTCTTCTATTCTCCTATATAAAATATATAAAGAAGAATGTAATTTTTTTTTCAAATCAATTAATATTTTTTACTTTATATTTTTTTTAGAGCAATTAATTTTTTTACATATGGAAATGGAAAAAGAATTTTGATAGAATTAAATGATGGAAAAGAAACTTCATTAATACATTTAACAGCCGCAATTACAGCAGGTAAATATTTGAGATCGATGAATGAATGAATGATAATATCAATTGCGTTGACATTAATTCTTCCAATATGTATAGGAATTACTACATCCACCGTAACCAATCCAATATGGCTTGTAAAAACGCGTATGCAACTTCAAAGTTCCAATAAATCACCACAAACACTCACCAAATACAAAAACTCGCTTGATTGCATAAGAAAAGTTATTAAAAACGAAGGATTCATAGGGTTATATAAAGGATTAAGCGCTTCATATCTAGGTACTAATTCACTAAACAATTTTTCACTGATTCACCAATTAGTCTTTATAAAGACCTCTTTGACAGATATCAAATAAAAATTAATAATAACAAAAAATGATTAATAATAATTAGGTGTGGCGGAAAGTACAATACAATGGGTTTTATATGAATCATTCAAGTCAAAATTTGCGGAAAAAAGAGAAAAAGAGCGAATAAATAAAAGAAACAGTTCTGGTAGTCTAGTAACGCAGCTAGATAATAATTTTAATTGGCGTTGGATAGATAATTTGTTAGCAGCTGGTTCAGCTAAACTGATGGCAGCTTGTATTACTTACCCACATGAGGTTAGCTATAATAAATGCATCTGTTTATTTTTAATTAGTTATTCAAAATTTTACAATAATTTCATTTCGACGACTTTAGGTAATTAGAACACGTATGAGACAATTACCAGGTGAAAATGGTGTGCTTAAATATAAAGGATTAATCCAATGTATCAAAACAGTATTTAAAGAAGAAGGATTTAAAGCATTTTATGGTGGTATGAGTGCACATATGATGCGTGTTGTACCAAATGCTGCAATTATGTTCTTTTGTTATGAATCAATCTTAAGTTATAGTGGTGTAAATCAAAAGAGGTAGAAAAAACATTGTTATTATTGATCTTTTTAAAGGACAATTAATTTTATGTGTATATATATATATTTATTGATTTATTGATCAATCAATCAAAAAGAAAAACATAGTAAAATTTTTGGCTATTAATATTACTAACAACAAACATACATACATACATACAAACAAACACTCAAAATTCATTATATATTCGTTACAAATACAAAGATATAATAAAAACAAGATATAAATAAATTACGTCACTTCCATGCGTGAAATAATAAATAAATGAAGTATTGAGTGAGGGTTTGGATTTAATATTAATGTAAAACTACCGAGCATAACTAAATGGCGCTGAAGGATTCAATGTACTCAGGCTTGTGGTTATTAAAGGTCACAACCCACCCTGCAGTCATTATGAGTCCTTCTAGGAAACAACGTCATAAATAATTGAAAAACATAAATTGCTGTAGGTGTTCTTTTTTATCGCAGACAAAGTAGATATAAAGATCAATTGCTTCCCAACTGTTATTATTTGCTGTAAAAGGAAGGGTTGAGAGTGTGTATTGAATGAAAGTGGGTGAATGTCGAGAGTTGAGAGTTGAAAGTTGGAACGAAAAAAAATTTTTAAACTAAATATTTATATTTTTTTTTTATAGAACTTTTTTCTCAATAACGTTCTCGATATGATAAAGTCTCAGTGGCTTTGACGTGAATACAGTATTATCCATTTGGAGGATGAAACGAAAAAAATAAACATCGTTGTAGAACTTTCTAATAATTTCAATGCAACAAAATTATCATGATATTTATTTTTTTGTTCCAACTTTCATCTCTCTTTGTTACAGAGCAATAGACAACTTCAGAATCAAAAAGAATTGATTTTTTCTTGAGGAAATATATAAAAACTATCTAATAAATTTGTTGCGATACTATTTATTGTACAGTTGGAACAACAGGACCCAGAAGCTTCTAATTGAGATTCCAGGGTAAGAATAATGCAAAAGTCACTATTACATCATGTGATAATGTTGAAGACACTAGTTGATCATTCATATTAATATGTAAAACGGAATCGGTTTTTAAAATATCTATATAAATTTAAAACTGTGCCATTATAGTTTTCTTTCTCATATTGATAGAGTTTCTCCATGTAAAGCTATAGTTATTCAAAAACAGTATTTCTTTTCACTTCAAAACTAAAATTTTTATCCAATATTATCTGACGAGTGGTTGAGAAAATGTCTTCATATTAATATATATATAACTTTTATAAAGTTGGAGAAAATGACATAAACCAAAAAATCGTGATAAATTTTGAATCTGTCTTGAATCCGATTCCAATCCAGATTGTAAACTATCTCTGGTTATTAATGTCTTATTGTTTTTTTTGTGATCTGCATACTAATAATATTACTATATATGCAGAATTTCTGACATTGCTTTAATATTAATGGTAAAAACCAATGCATAAAAAACTCGTACAACAAAATTTTCTATTTTTGATAAGCTCTGTATACTCCGTGAAATGAATTATTTTTCCTTAATTTTACTATTAAAAATGCGTATTAATATTGATAAGTACACCACTTTGGTTTGTTAATGGCAAGGAAATAAATAATACTGCAATACAATATATATGTTTATGATGACAATGATTACTAAAAATACATTTATTTTTTGTCAAAAACATTATTTTAGTGTGCATATTTGATATGATAATTGTGAGAAGTTATAACTATTTATCTATGATTTCATTTCTCAGGATATTTAATAGTAGCCAAATAAATAAAATAATATAATAAATAATTTTAAATGACAAGATTTAACTTAGTAAATCATCTGGTATACTTAATTCAATCTGTTGAGAATCTAAAAAAAATATTTAACATAAGAGTGGACATTAATAATAACATTATAAATTTTTAAAAATGAAAATAATCAAATGTTAATAATTACCATTATCATTACCAATAATTGTCACTTTATTGGAATTCACAGGTTGGGGAAGGTTTGTAAATTTTAATAATTTGCTGGTGTAAACGGCATTTGGATGAATTGCTGCAGTAATTGTTGAAGGATCAAATTTTATTTTATCCATTTTGTTAAATTCTTTAAATGAGCTATGCCAAGAATCAATAATCTTATAAATTTCATTGGCAGCTGGACGTTTATCTGGATTAGCATCCATGCATCTAAATGCTAGTTCAATATAGGATTTTGGTGTATTGTTTGAAAATCCAGGTCTTACCCCTTTACATATTTCTATTGCAAGTCCTAGATCATGTGCCAAATTATTAAATGGTTGTTGACCAGTTGAAATTACAGACATCAGAACTCCAAAACTATATATATCTGATGCTTTTGTGTATGGTTTCTCCCTTAAAATTTCTGGTGCAACATATGGTAGTATTCCAAATACATCATTTTTGTTTGATGATTGACTAACTGGGCATGATAATCCTAAATCTGCAATATATGAATAAACAGTACTTTGAAGAATATTACCACTGTGAAGATCATGATGAATAATTTCTTCTTTATGAATATCTTTTAAACCAGTAATAATTTGTTCAAGAATTCGAATTTTGCTTTTCCATTTTAAATTTCTAAAATCTTTTGTTAAATAATTTTGAAGGCTTCCATTTTCTATATATTGCATTGCAAATATATATTCTTTTGTGATTGGATCTTGTGCTAATCCATAAATTTTAATTATATCTTCTTTATCATGAAACTTTGTATAATTTTTGAACTAAAATAACAATAAAATATTTAATTACAACAATAATAATCAATGATATTTTAAAAAATCTGAAACTAATACTAATAAAATAATTTACCTCATTAAGAAATTCATCAGAAATATTTGATGAATTATGCAATTTTTTTAATGCCACTGTCATATCTTTACTATATCTTTTCCCATCATTTATATTTTTCTTGCCATTTAACCAAGTAGCTTTGGATATAGTTGCAAAACCACCTTCACCTATCTTTTCAATATTTATTAAATCATCATAAGGAATCCATTGAAGATAATGTTTATTATAATACATAGTTGCTTTAAGTTGTGTACTTTTAATCAACTCATCTAATGTTTTATTTCCACTAGTCCATCCTTCAGTTAATAACTTTGGATCACATGATTGACACCATGAATAATCAGTATTATATCTATTGCAGGTTGGACATCCACCATACTTTTTTTTTCTTTTCTTTGAATATTTATCATTTTGAAGACTTCCATCTTCCATGTAATGCATTACAAAGATATATTCTTTTGTAATTGGATCCTGTGTTAATCCATAAACATAAATTTTATCACGAAACTTTGTATAATTTTTGAACTAAAATAACAAACAAAATGTTTAATTACAACAACAACAATAATAATATTTTAAAAAATCTGAAACTAATACTAATAAAATAATTTACCTCATTAAGAAATTCATCAGAAACATCCTGTGAATTATGTGGTTTTTTTAATGCCACAGGAATATCTTTACTGGTTCTTTTGTTATTATGATAATTTACACTTTTATAACCATTTAACCAAGTAGCTTTATATATAGTTGCAAAACCACCTTCACCTATCTTTTCAATATTTGTTAAATCATTATAAGGAATCCATTGAAGATAATCACCATTATAATACATAGTTGCTTTAAGTTGTGTGCTTTTAATCAACTCATCTAATGTTTTATTCCCACTAGTCCATCCCTCAGTTAATAGCTTTGGATCGCATGATTGACACCATGCCCAATCAGTATTATATCTATTGCAAATTGGACATCCACCATACTTTTCTTTTCTTTTCTTTGAATATTTATCATTTTGAAGATCTTTCACAATGATATATTCTTTTGTAACTGGATCTTTTGTTAACCCATAAATTTTATATAACTGATAATTTATTAACTAAAATAACAAATAAAATATTTAATTACAAAGTAATAATTTAAAAAATCTGAAACTAATATTAATAAGATAACTTACCTCATTAAGAAATTCATCAGAAACATCCTGTGAATTATGTGGTTTTTTTAATGCCACAGGCATATCCTTACTAGTTCTTTTGCCATTATAATAATTTGTACTTTTATGACCATTTAACCAAGTGGCTTTATATATAGTTGCAAAACCACCTTCACCTATCTTTTCAATATTTATTAAATTATAATAAGGAATCCATTGAAGATGCTTACTATTATCATATCGTCTTGCTTTAAATTGTGTGCTTTTAATCAACTCATCTAGTGTTTCATTCCCACTAGTCCATCCTTCAGTTAATAGCTTTGGATCACATGATTGACACCATGCCCAATGGGTATTATACCTATTGCAGGTTGGACATTCCCCATATTCTTCGTTTCTTTCCTTTTAATCTCTTCTCGCTCTCATTTAAAGTGTTTTTCATTTCTAAAAATTATTTAAAAAAAAATTTTGTTTTTTCTAAAAGAACTTTTATCGCACAAACACAATTAATAACAAATTTACGAATGAGAACGCAAAATGAGCTTTTGCTTGTTACGTGTTACACGATAATAGTCTCTTTTATTAAATTCAAAACACAACATAATAATAATAGAGCGGCTGTCCTGAAATATATATGTATGGGTAAGGTGAATTAATGCGTCGCCATTATAGAAGTATCTGATAAGGCTAGATTTCGATTTTGTAGAATCCGAGCTTTTTTTTTTGGCTTATCATGTTGCGTATTTTTTTATAGGCTGATATTAATACAGTAATAATAAAAACTGCATATTTCAACAACCACAAAACAAGTTTAGATTCTTTATGAATTATTTTGTCAAAAGATTGATGTGATAAAATTTTTGAGTTAATAATTATTCTAACGCAACAATGTACATAATAATCATACAAAAAATAATATCAGCTGCAGTGTTGAAATTTCGTCGTGTAACTAGTTACAGGAGGGAACGTACTGGGAACACAAAATTAACAGGAGGGAACACAAAAATTTAACCCATGCAATTTTGTTGATTGACCAATTAAAATCGTGA